GTTATGTTAGGTATGTGTTGTTGTTTCCTGATAGTGGTGAGTTTTGCATGAGACACAGAGGATACCGTACAAGTTGATGAAAATGATCAAACGTATAATCATCAGTAGCTAGTACAAAAACTGTTTTCGAGAAAGTACTTCATGAGTTAATTGAATGATGATTATATTCTAAACTGCCTGATTGCTTGCAGATCACCTTTAGTGTCGGGTATAGGTGGTTGAGATAAGTAGGCCATTTCAGTTCTTCTGACACATCATCTTACTGTAGGTCATGAGCTACTTCATCTGATTACCTGTAACACCAACTAACTGAATCTTTTCTTGGGATTGATACTTCAGTGGTGGCCCTGTCCAGATTATGATTATAAGGCTAATGTCACCAATATTTCATTTGAGACCTTTAAGTACTTATCCCATGTGTAACTTTTCAGCAAGTAAATGCATCAGAGCTGATGTATCAAAAGATCTCCAACATGGACTGTTTTACAAGCAGGTGTACCCACCCTTGCCAGTGTATGTTTCATAACGTTTTCCGAAACAAACAAGAAGTTTGTGTTTGGCTAAGTGAATGATTACATGTAGTGATGATATTATAATCAATGTCACAATGGCAATATCAGATTTAAAGTATTTTTAATAGCATGATGGCTGCACCAAATTACATGTCACATTTCTCTATGATGACATATCCTGCATGACTTGCCTTGGGTGGTGAGATGAGTAGACACAGAAGCTCCATGGCAAACAGCCTACGGTTGTACACCAGAAAGGTCATGGTGCCATTATACATGCTGATTGATATGGGCATCCTGATGGTGGCGGTGCACAATGACGCACTGCTTTTAACAGCGATGCAAATTGATTTAGTTGTCTGTCATTAGAGTTGTGAAGAAACATTTTCTTCATGCAACCCCACCCTTTGCATTATATTTTGTACAGCTACAAACATGGAGGGAGTAAGGTTACCAGTTGTAACCAGTGATTTAGTCGTGATTTACCAGATGAATCGAGAGTCCGGGTGATCAGTTCCCAGGTCCAGCCTGTAGGTGTTGTTCCACATGCAAAGTAGTCTGTCTACCATTATCAGGGGTGAAGCTACCATTATGAAAAAAAGCCCGGGCTTACACATGATTGTTGCTAAAAAGGTTGGGCAAATCCTCAATACTATCTAAATAAAAAGCTTTCAACCTATCGGGCTTACACGAAAAAAGTGGTTTACTATGTGCCTGTTTATGACAAACTATAAACCTATTCTGTTAGAAGGGTGGTTGGGTAGGCTAGTGGTTAAAGCGTTCGCTTGTCACGCCGAAGATCCGGGTTCGATTACCCACATGGGTACAATGTGTAAAGCCCATTTCTGGTGTCCCCCCGCCATGATATTGCTGGAATATTGCTAAAAGCGACATAAAACCAAACTCAGTCTGTCAATATTCTGTTAGACTTTTAGTTCCAAAAATATATTCTTCTATTTTAAAATATGTATCAACAAGTTTAAGAAATGAAATCCAAATGGAGCCCAGAATAGCTTTCAAGAACTGAGACCATCTGGTCTTGCCAAATCATTCTTGACTTGATTTGGATTCTTCTTTAATTTATTCCTTCGGGTCTGGGAGACACGCTGTTATATTACCAACCCAGTAGCATACTCACAGTGACTGGCGATATACTACTCCAAACATGTCAAAGAACTTCCGCAGCTGGTAGGCTGTATGTTGCAGTACCCACCAGCCATGACAGACTGACTCGTCTTCATGACAAACTGTGTGTTCTTAACTTCTTTTAAGTGGTATACTTGGCTAGCCAAGTGATTAAAGTGCTTCATGTTCCTCCAGTCAGTTTCATCAACGATTGTTTGGTTTCAGGTTCCGTTCATGGAATCAGACGTTAATGTTTGATTGATTGTTTTCCTCTTTTTGTACAAATTGTGTGGGTTAACTGAATTGAGAACAAAATGAACTGTCTGATAACAAACAAGTTTCAAAATACAACAACCCTTAGTCATCTAGTCTTAGACTAACAACTAGTCTCTGAAATGAACATATTTTACTGAAAAAGTTATAGTAAAAAAAATATATATAATGAAAAGTCTTCATTTTCCTAGACATTTTCTAGACTTGTGGGCTTTCTTTATATTTGCTTCAGGGTCTGTCTGCGACTACCTTAGCCAGTGTCTTCACAGTTAGGTCAGGTCTTGAAAAGGCTTTTCACACCTAAGTACCCTTATTTTCAGCTTTTTCTGCTCCATGCAAAGTTTGTTTTTTGTTTGGGAGTTGTTTGAAGAAGGCAAGAACTTAAGGGTTCTGTGTGCGCTAGTTTGTCTTCACCACGTTCTGTGTCTGTGTGGCCCCCCTGGATGAGTCATATCAGTATTCATACCTATTGTGTTGACAGGAATTTGCAGCTGACAGGTTGTATATAGCTGTCACAATGACACCTATTGTATAGACATTCTGTTGATTTCTGGAAAAGAATGCAATGCCACTCTGCATTTCTGAAACACTTCCTGTAGCATGTAGTTTCTACCGTCATACAATTATGTCCCCATAAGTATGAATGGGTTCATTCTGTAAGAGTCAGTCATACACATGGTTCATGAGATCATTGACAGTGTCAGACAGAAACTATCTCAGGCAATCCTGTAGCCAATAGACAGTGTGTAGAGGTTCTCCTATAGCCATCCAAGAATGAATTATGTGTACTTGTGAACATATGCTTCCCTCGGTGTTATGACTTTCTGGGGTGTAATGGTGACATGCAAACAGTACCACTCTCAAGTAGTTTATTCAGCATTCACTGAACATGATCCTTTATTAAAGTGTATGGAAGACAGTTGTTAATTGTCCTTGCCAACACGTACATAAACATGATAAAGAAATGGAAATAAAGTGCAACAGATTTCTGGATACAAGTATAATGTTGTCGTTGAAAGCATATCTGACTTTCTCTGACTGAGCTCTTACGTCATTAGGTATGAGTCAGAATGGAAAATGCACTTCTACATATCTGATTTCAAGTGGACATGAGCTGTATTTTACATGTAACAAGATGATGCGTATTGAAGAGACATTTCTTCCCTCAGTATATATCCTACTGGGCTTGTGTTCCAGCAGGCAACATACTGAGTGCCTGGATCTACAGATCCCTTTCACATTGTCAGTTTGTTACAAACATTAAGTACTTCTCGATGTCAGTCTAGTCAAATCAACATCTGTTATATGATAGCTGTCTAGTCACATATTGACGAAATGCTTCAGAAGGACTTTAGTCTCACAATAACATATTCAGTGGGGAGAATCTGAAACTTCATAGACTGTCTTTAAAACTGGAGAATGCTGAATGTTATAATGGTGTACATTTGATGGTTTCTGTCCTTGATGTAACTGTTACTTCAGGTGATGATTTAAGGGGCAGGGTAACAGTGACTCACACAAGGATTTCATACAGATTTCTTTGACGTTGATTGATTGATATATCTTGAAACCTGCATTAGGCTTGATAGCTTGCAGATGTTCATAGATAATGACTTTCTCAGAAGTTACGGTGACGCTCATGTTTTTGTACTATTAAAACTTGTGGTATTATTGTCCCGATATCACAACAGCACAAACCTCAATAGGCACTGGTAGCATATGGCGGGACAGGGATCAAGAATGTAGCCATCAATCATGGTCATTTGTCTTCCACTCGCCAACTCTCAAGTGTAACATTTGGCTTTTGTCTAGTATGTGTTGATCATGGATCCAGTGGGCTAGAATCCATACATATTTACAGTGAGAATAACTCTGGTTTTATATCCATGTTTTGAACATTGGTCATTGCCAGATTGAAGTCAGTTGGAAAAGTTTGTTTTGTACCTGCTCAAGTTTAAATTTTAAGTATTTGCATTAGCAGATCAGATTTGCTTCTGTTACAGTCCTGTCTCAAGCTTTGTTATATAGACTTGTTTGAGGATCAATTTTAGAATATAAACACAAACAACTCCCTTTAATTCAATCTAAAACCAAATATGCTGGATTAATTAAAATAATTCAAAGCTGTAATTGGCATCTTTTTGGAAAATCTATTCAGTGACAGTTTTGTTGGAATAACCCATTGCGCTTGGTAAATGTGAAATGTCATTGCTTCACTTAAATGTTGATTGTTCTTTTTTCCTCATTAGTTTGTTGTCCTGGGAATCTGACTATGCATTAGTCCAATAGTAAAGAGTGCCTGTATTGATCTGTCCCAGGTAGCCTCTATTGTTAAGGACCATCGTGTGACTAAACGGACACAAATAGAAATTCCCTGGCTGTGAGTCACTGCCCAGGATCAATGTGTATCCCACTCACTGACAGCCATGCGGGTTGTTGTGTCACATGGTACTATCTTGATAACACTTCCAGAAACTCAGCAACAATCTGCAAAACCATGTTGCTGAGGGCGACCACTGTAATGACGGGTTCTTGATTTACTTGATAAAATAACATACAGTACATTTGCCTCATCGGAGGAAATACATGCAAATAATATTTCCCAGTTCCTCACAATGTGATAAATCTTAGTCAAACAATGTGACATTTGAATTGGAGAGTGATGTGTTATCGTCAAGCTGTTCAGTCAGCTGGTTTATCAAGTGAGGTCTAACATCAGCAACTGGCAACAAACTGTTATCTCTGATGTGAGTGAAACATTTGATGATGGAGTCTGCATGATGTTGATGTTTAGGTGCACATCATTCTTTACAGGGTCCACTCTCAAACAATTTATTTGTTTGAGGATATCCACATATCTTAACATCTACAAACGGTGTGATTCATATATTTCATACAAATGTCATGAAAGACAAAGTTTTGAAGTTCTTTTATGTATCTAAGGAAAGATTTTATGAGACTTCCAATGGTGTTGCCAGTTTTTCTTCAGCTCTGCTCAATTTAAAACCTTGCACTTCATTCATTTGGGCAAAATATATGATGCTGTATAAAGTGTATACATGTCTCTAACCATCCTCAACCTTATTGCAGGATTCAAATGCTGGGACACTGAAACCACTGGGATTGATATCAATGAGGAGCTTGCACAGATAGCCAACAGGGCTTCACTGGGAGAGGAAGGGCCCAATGGTGAGTTGTCTCCCCATGACAGGACAACTGCTTATGGAGTTGTTGTTATAGGTTGAAGCAATAACTGTCAGTCAAGCCTCACTGTGGGCAGATCTGAAGTTGATCGTTTGAGAATCCGGGATTTCATTATGTTTAATCTGAGGCTGACAGCTATTGCAGTAACCTCTGACAGTATTGTCAGGCATTTGGGATGGTCACTAGTTAGTCTCCTTGTATCAAGAATTACTATCACATGTCTTGACAATTCACCTAATATACATCTGTAATTCTAGTACTCCCCTCTCATTTTCATGTCTTTCCCTTTCACAGATGGACAAATTACAAAAGAGATTTTTACTGCTTCTGACTTTTTATGATTTCCAAGTAGATTAGCTAAATGGATGAAGGTACTGATAACCCCAGGATGTCACCTATCCTTGCCAGGTTGTTATTTACTGTAATCATTTTACCCTATATTTTTGAACTACCAGAATTGCTTTGATGCAAACAAGTAAACTTGTGTTTACTATATTGACTTTTGGTGGCCTTATAACAGCTAGGGTGTTTTAATCCATTTTAGGGGAAGCTTAATGCAGTTGCTTTCACAAATAGTTTTCTTCCATTTGAATTCGGAGGACCAGTATTCAATAAAGGTTGTCAATTTTATGTACGATGAAATAGTTTCTACCCTATTAATGTTGCCCTTTTTTAAAAATAGTTTGTACACAATTAATGTTGCCCTTTTTGAGTGACAGACAGTTATTATATCTGCAAGTTACATGTGACTCCAGAACTTGAGGCACTAACAACATGAATCAATACTGCTGCCATGGAAGCTGATGAAAAGTAGCGTGCATTATTTGTTGTGTCCTCATTATACAGATCTAACATAGGTAAATAGGTATAATCAATAGCTGTTCCCAGCTTGGTGTGGGTGAACTAAGTTCAAACACAGGTGCCTGGGAGTACTAGTATATGAATGGGGAAGGATATGCTTGGCTGCAGGTTGTACAGGGTCTTTGTTTTCTGAGTGGTAATGTCCTGAATCAGCCATTTTTCAATACAATTCATTATGTCATGTTCATTTCTTGCAAGTTTGCAGATTCTGAATGCATGTGATCAGGGAACAAGGAACAAGTAGTTATTGGAATGATTTTAAAAGAAAGATTTGGAAACTGTTTTTGTTTTTTATGTGACAGTTTTTGAAACATCAAAATATTTTTCAAAATGTATGAAGAAATTGGTTAAAGTATCAAATGAAAGTTGTTACAATCTTCATCAAATTTGGTTGCGTGGAAGAAACAAATTCCGATAACTCTGTTGATACCTTTTCCTGCTCACTTTATCACTTATAATAGCATGTGAAGTTATGAACTAGTATCAAGCGCTAAGCTTTGCCTTGCCCTATTTAAGCAGCTGACGATGCAGGGAAGGTAAAGGGAGGTAAGTCAGTCAGGACTACATCTGCACGCGCTACAAGACTCAAGTATCGCATGGCTTAAGCATGTGTTTTTATCCCCTGCCGTGCGTTTAGCTCGAAACGGGGGATATAGTATTAGGCTCCGTCCGTCCGTCCGTCCGTCCATAACATACGTATGTCCGTCCATACAAATTGGAATATCTTAAGAACCGTTCTCTAGATTCTTTTCATATTTGGTACCTAGGTTCATCACAGTATAAGAAAGGCCCAAGTCAGGTTTGGTGACCTTGACCTTCATTTCAAGGTCACAAGGGGGACTTTTATGTTTTACCTGCATGTTAAGCTATATCAAGAACCGTTCACTGGATTTTCTTCATATTCGATACCAAGCTTTATCTGGGGAAGGCGCAGGGCCCAGTCGTTTTTGGTGACCTTCACTTAATTTTCAAGGTCATGGTGACACTTTGAAGATTTCAGCATGTAAACCTGCATTTTAAGCTATCTCAAGAACCGTTCACTGGATTTTCTTTATATTTGAAACCAAGCTTTATCTAGGGAAGGCGCAGGGCCCAGTTGATTTTGGTGACCTTCACATAATTTTCAAGGAGAGGGTTTCACTAAGTTGGCATAACTTGTACCCAATCCATTCTCTTGAATAAATATGTTTAAATCAAATAATTTTCAAGGTCACAGAGACACTTTGAAGATTTCAGCATATTAACTTGCATGTTAAGATAGTCAGCAAGATATCTAAAAAAATATTCACTGGATTTGACACCAAGCTTCATCTAGGCAAGGCCCAGGGCCCAGTCAATTTTGGTGACCTTCACATAATTTTCAGGGTCACGATGACACTTTGAAGATTTCAGTATGTTAACCTGAATTGTCAGCAAGATATTTCAAGAAAGGTTCACTGGATTTTCTTCATAGACTTTCAAGACTTCCCTTGAATGTTTTTCAATAAGCAATTTCTTTAGTACTATTTTTGCATTTTTCATACACTATGACATTCATGTCAAGGTCAAAGTCAGTCTTGAAAATATGTGTGTGTTTGAACACCTAAAGAGCAAGATATCAAGAGAGGTTGATTGGTCATGCTTTTGTTGACATTTAACTTAAACTTTCATTACTTTATAAGTTTGATTTGATAATTTGCGGCGGGGGATTATGTCACCTTAGTGACAATGCTTGTTTTGTTACAAGTGAAAAGGTATAATGTTAATATGATCTACGTAATTTGTTCAGGTTGAAGACAAGGTCTTAATACAAGGCTTCAGCAAACACAAGAATCCATCAATTATCCTTCAGTTTACATTATGTTTTATCGATTAGTTAGTTCCTCTGAGAAGCTTAAATAGGGTGTTATCAAATATGTTTACATTTAGATTTATAATTGTAGGATTGTCAAATTTAAGTATGGCAAATGTGCATGTCTTGCTATTTGTGTAATTATGTTCAATGAAAGTACTCATGTTCATTTATTTAACATCATCTCATATTGAAGCTTCTTGTTCTAAAAACCCTCAATGTCCCACTAACAATTCCATTTTTCAGAATTAATGTCATTAATCAAAATAAGTTTTGTTTCGCATTATCTGTAATTTCCTAAGTTTTGAGAAGAATAGATGTGATGCCGTCTAAAATGATAAAATATGCTTTCTTACTCTCTTTGTTGTATATTTTCAATGTACATTTACAATGTGTTTAAGGCTTTTGTGTGTAAAGAATTCAGCCAATATGTGGGACTGGATTAATTCATATAATCACTTGGTGTTGTTGGCTTAATTCTAAATTCTATGTATATGTTGTCATAGCACAGATCATGGACAGCCACTGGATTATTTGACAAAATTAGAGAAAATTTCATGTTATGTTTGCATAAATGTATCGTTTTTAATTTATCTGAATCTCAACCAAAACTGAGAAAATTTGCTTTTGATGTTGTGAAATACAAAGTGATATTTGAAATAAATTGATCTCTATTAAAGGGAATACTGAGTGAGTGAAATGCTTTCAACTGTATGTTGTCTGTTAATGTAATTTCGTATGCATCATTTTATGTATCTATTTAACCCTCAAACAGCATACAGATAAAAATAAAAACATGAAATAAATTAATCCTGTACACCTTGAAAGGATTGATTTATTCGAGTTATATGTTATATATGAAAAAACAAAGTAACTATGGAGTCGAAAGAAATTTTGCCAAATAGCTATTTCTGTTTACTATTAATTACTTAAATATTTTTAATGCCAGAACTGATGATACGGGATAGAATTGGTCTTCAGCAACCCATGCTTGTCGTAAGAGGCAACTAACAGGATCGGGTAGTCAGGCTCAACAAATTGGTTGACACATGGTATTGGTGCTCATGTTCTTGATCACTGGATTGTCTGATCCAGACTCAATTATTTCCAGACCACCACCATATTGCTGGAATATTGCTGAGTGCGTTGTTCAACCACAAACAAGCAAATCATGCGAGACCTCTAGCTGCATGGTTCAGTCATACTTTTGATGTTAAATCATATCTCAATAGTTGGATGAATATGACCCTACATTTCATCATTTCAGATTTGCTATTCATGGTAAGGGGAAAAAAATGTTTTAAAGAATTGAAATGTTTTGAACAATTCAGTTTAACAGTAATAGAATGCAGCATCCAGTGTTGCATTAACAGAAACTGTGTTGTCTGACCATTGTTTCCATGTGTTGCAGGGGAGAGGACAATCCGCCACCGCTCCGACAATGTTGCTGTGGAGATCTTGGTAAACCCACAGGCCCAGACAGTCCGCCGATGCCTGAAAGGCTTCCTGAAGGTTGCCTGTCAGCTCAAGTTTCTCTTGTATGCTGGACATGCCTTCCAGGGATCTGGAGCTTGGGTCCTGCAAGATGATGTCTTCACCTTCAGCAACTTTGTCCACATCTTCAAAGATACTGATGTGGAAAATGCCTTGAAACAACAAGAGGATGTAAACCTAGTGTTTTACAGCCTGGCAGATGGTGACTGGAGTGCCAGTATCAATAAACAGGACTTTTCTAAGATTTTAAAGATCAAGGTGAACCCACCCCAGAAGTTAGACAGTGTCCATGGAGTCCTTCAGTTTACTGCCTATGTTAGTAGCTTTGTTAAGGCTCAGAGTCTCAACAGTTTGCTGTCTTCATCTGATGTTGTTGGTAACATTAGGTTCAATAAACCCACTCTGTACATATTCCCTGGTTGTCAAGGAGACTCTGCTCTCTTTGGTATCAGTGGATTCAGTCTCCTTGTCAATGGAGGATACAACAGAAAAGCCTGTTTTTGGGATTTCACTCGACACTTGGATAGGATAGATGCAGTGTTGTTAACCCATTTGGGGACTGATAATTTGTTCGGGCTTGGGTCAGTTTTGCAAAGAAAGAGTGTTGAGAACGTACATCCAGAAATAGGCTTTATGTATCTGAATTCCAGTGAGAAGACTAGGTCCTCACCTGCACCCAGTGTTGAGAATCTTAAAGACAAAGATCCTAGTTTGTTAATCAATTTGGCTGAAGAAGGCAATCGAATCATTGAGTACTCTAAGCAGTTGGGCCAGTTCCCACACCCATGTTCACGTAGTGTGACCGGCCAGCAGCAGGATCCAGTCAATCTCTACCATAAAGTAGGTCATGGCTCCCTTGATATGTTCATCCTGAACCCAGTCCAAGACAGCAAAGAGCTTAAAGAGTTCTACCAGCAGTGGAATAAACAGGTCAGCAACTTTGGTAGCAACCAACAATTCCCCCTGCCCAATATGTTGTCCATCTGTGCCCTGCTGGTGTGGAGGCCTGCTAATCCTACTGAGAAAATCACCAGAATCTTTTTCCCAGGAAATGCACCACAGAACAAAATCATTGAGGGTCTAGAAAGGATAAAGCATCTGAATTTCCTGAAACATCCAAGCTGCTGTCAGAAGGATCTAAATCAGCCACCAAAGAAAGCCACTGGAGGTGTCAGAGCAACTAAGCCTGCTGCACGTTCTACTCCTGTCAAAGCAGAATCTCCAAGAAAGTCTGAAACCCCTAAACCAGAAAGATCCAGACCTCTGACTAGCCCTGCTTCTAAAGGAAACAAGGTTGCTAAGGAAGATACCAATAAAAAGACTGCCAAGTCAAAGGATGTGAAAAAGGATGATAAGGAGAAAGAAAAGGCAGACAAAGCAAAATCATCAACTTCATCCAGCCCCTCAAAGAGCTCAGTCAAGAGTGCCAGCTCTCCTTCTAAGAGCCCAGTGGAACCAATTGCTCCTGTTGCAGCTGCCCTTGTGGATACATCACCACAAGAAGGTAGTCTGATTGACACATCTGTCCCAGTAGAGCCTTTGGTCAACCATATCAATGGAGATGCTGCAGTACCAGAACCCAAGCCTGAGGTTGATGAGACGCCTTTAATGAAGCCAGAGCAAATTGAAGCACTTCAATCAGAAGTTAGAGAATCTGATTCACCTGAACCTCTGCCTAACCCAGTTCAGTATGAAGCAGAGCCAGTCAACTCTGTCCCTGAAACAACACCGGTTGATGCCCAACCTCCATATGACAGACAGAAACTGGCTGAATTAGGCATCTATGATGATGATGATGACGAAACTGAAGAGGCTAATGGATCGGTACCAACTGAACCTGCAACTGAATCACCAGCAGGCACACCTGAGGAACCAGAGGAGATTGAGCAACCACAGTCTCTGCCTGAGCCAGTTGAAGTACCTGACCAATCCCATTTTGTTTCCGAGCCAGATCTTATTCAGGAAACAACTCCACAGAAAGAGGCTTTACCAGAAGTAGAATCTCAGGCTGATACTGTTACAGCTGATCCAGACATTGTACCCAACTCTGAAGAACCCGTGGTACAAGATGATACAGACCCAGCAGAAGAAATCCCATCTTCACCAGAACCAACTGAAGAGCTACAAGGATTTTCCTTTTCCAAAGGTGCAGACAGCCCCCTGGAACCAACTCCACAGTTCACTCAAGAGCCAGATGTTGTTCCTGTTATGCAAGGCCAAAATGCTTCTCTTGAACAGAGCATACAGTATGGTATCACTGATGACAATGGAAGACATATGGGAGGCATCAAGGAAGAAGAGGAGGATGAAGAGTCAGGGCGGGATTCTGAAGAAAAGCAGCTTGCAGAAGATCCATCCCGAGAAGAATCACTTGAGCTAGAAAGGAACCCAACTCCAGAGCCTGCTGATAAATTGCCTGATCCAGTGAGAGAGTCCCCTGAGCCAGTTGAACCGTCCCCCGAACCAGTTGAACAGTCCCCCGAACAGTCCCCTGAACAGTCCCCCGAACAGTCCCCTGAACAGTCCCCCGAACAGACCCCTGAACAGTCCCCCGAACAGTCCCCTGAACAGTCACCTGTACAGTCACCTGTACAGTCTCCTGAACCAGTTGGGCAAACATTAGAACCTGTTCATTCCTCTCCAGAACCAGAAGAAGCAGAAGAGAAAGTAGAGGACCATTTTGAAGAGAGACAGGAAGAACAGGTTGTACCTGTTGCAGAAGAAAAACCTAACATTGATAAACAATCCATCGAAGAGATGGGGATCTATGATGAGGAGGAGGAAGATGACATGGACCAAGCTGAAGAGAGGGATCCAGATGCCTTTGTGTATGAGAAAGATGTTGATCTAGGAGATGAAGAGGGACCACAAGAAACCAGAGGATCAAGTGAGGAGCAGGAGACCGAGGTGTCTGGGTTTGAAAAGGAAATCCTAACAGGTATTGTTGATCAAGCACCACCTGCAGGGAGTATTCCTGTTGATGAGAGATATGCAGATTTTGATCAGCAAGAAGCATCCAGGGCATCAGAATCACCAGAGAAAGAAGCTGATGGAGTTCAAAGGGTTGAGGAGAGTCCAGAACATGATGAATTTCAGAGAGATAGCATTGAAAGGGAACAGGAGCAGCAGGAGTCCTCCAACATCCCAGAAGCATTTGAAAAGGATGAAACACCAACACCTGGTGAGAGTTTGTCCTTTGACAATCAAACAGGTGATCAACAATCATTAGCAACTGACTCAGCAGTAGCTAGTGACATACAGGATGACAGCAATATCAGAGATGACACTGATTCAATTGATGGTGGAACTCCAGATGATGATAAAGATATTGATGAGTCCTTTGCAAAAGAGTGTAATTCACAGAAGAGTGAAGATGCAGTTGTTAATGGATCATCTGATCAGGACTTAATTAGTGTGGAAGACCCCCCAGCCAATATGAGGGGCATGGAAGCATCATCAAACCCCTTTGATAGTCTAGACCAACAAGGACAGAACCCATTTGTTGGAATTGACGAGACCAATCAAGCAGAACAAATACAAGGTTCCTTGAATCCTTTCAGCGATCAAAGTCCATTTGAACCAGAAAACAAGAAACAACCAGAAGGATTTGATCCTCTCAGTGAATGGGGACAACCTATGGGTCTGCCATCCCCACCCCCACTTGATGACAGTAAGTCAGCCAGTCCTAGCAATGGAAAGACAACAAAAGCTTCAAAAACCACCAAGAATGGAGTTAAGGCTGCAGAAGCTAAAAAGGCAGATCTTTCCAAATCTTCAACTGGAGCAAAGAAAGCCCCAGAGAAACGTCCAGCTTCAGCTACAACTAAAACCACTACTAATAAAACAGCCAATGGCCCCAGCAAAGCAGAACCCAAGGCTAAAACAGCACGACCAACTGAGAAAAAAGCAGAGCCTAAGAAACCTGCCCCTGCCACTACCAAAGCACCTACCCGTACTCGCCCTGCCACAGCACCTGCACGAGCTGAACCAGCAAAGACTACACGTACTGCCCCTGCCCCTTCCCGTCGTCCTGCCACTGCTACAAGCAGATCATCACCCTCAGGTAGTCGTGGCCCACCATTGCCCCCTCTCACTGCCTTCTATGTCGACCTCACTTATATCCCCAACCATGGAGACCCGGCCTACAGTGATGTAGAGTTCTTCAAGAGGATCCGTGCTCGTTATTATGTCCTCAGCGCTTTGTCCCCAAATCCTCAGATCCTTAATTCCTTGCTGGAAGCTAAGAAGACTTGGGAGGACAAAGACCTAGAAGTGACAGTCATTCCAACTTATGACAATGAGACCCTTCGTCATTGGATGGGACTCCACAAGGAAGATCTGGGACAGTTGAAGATTGATGTCGCCCCTTCGGCTAGTCGTTGCACCATCCAGTTACAGGACCATGAAACCAGCTGTTCAGCTTACAGACTTGAATTCTAAAGCAGTTTCTTTGCAAGACTTGAATTAGAGATAGGAGGTTGATGTCAGTGGGCAGACATGACATAATATGTCCGCCACGAGCGTCTGCAGTCTGGCGGGAAGTACGAGTGCCAGATGTGAACATGGGTGTGAGGTCCTTTTGTTCCCTTTGTTGTATGTGACTTGCTATGTTCAAATTATGTGATCTAAATGCTGCTGTGACACAATATTCCTGGCTTTTATCTTTGCCTAAGTATTTAATATATTTATAGCCTGTATTGTTTGTATTTGGTCAGCTGTAGACACCTGTCTGCCTATGTGAGACAATACAACAGGTTCAACATAACATATTATGCCACAATATAGTCATGTTTTGCAAGAATGGGAGCAAAGAACTGAACTGTACGAAAAAACCAGAGATTGTTTTTAGTTCAAGACTTTAAGTGCCATGTAGAGTTTGCTCATTGTTTGTATAAACCTTGCTTTAGAAGATGCTAGCCATTTTGAGCCATCTATATGCAGAAATGTATAGTTTTGGAAAGTATGTTTTGGTGCGAAACTTGGGATGTAGGTGAATTGTAGCCATTTTAACCCTGGAGATTTGATGGTGTGACCTCAAGCTTTCTCTAATAATATCTGATTACAACGCAAATGTCTTGTTTGTACAGACAATATTCTGCACATCTGTGATGCCTTTTTTGTAATCTGACCATGTCTGGGCACCATATGTTCATCATAATCTACTCTAGTGCAACATAGTCAATGATTACCCTGCAATATATGCCAACATTGCTGAGTCTGCAGTTTTAACTTCTACTTTAATCTATCTGTAAAATGTTTGTCTTTTAACTTACATACTGAATTTCACCACACTATTGTTAAATACTTTCTTGTTTTACTGGCCTGAGATGAATGTTTGTAACCTTGGTTACTTGTCAAAGTGTATGTTTGTGATTGAGTAAAAGTTAACTGACTGCTATTTATGTTGATCTTAAATACAAACCTAACATCATTTTTAAGTGGTAATTAACAGTGGGGAGAAAGATATTTACTGAATATGTCATTTTTGACTTAGTGCAAAGAAAATGTAAATTGTGTAAAATTCCAAACAATGGGAAAAATGTCCGACTACTGTTTTATGAAGTTGTAAAAAATATAAAATGTTTCTTTTCATGTGTTTCAACAGGTTCTATGTACTTAATATGCAGACACCATTTAACCTGTCCTCTTATTGTAATTATTATTGTGACACCAAAGTCTTTCTCCTTAATTGTCATTCATCTAGAAAACTATTTGTAACATAAGTATTTAGTATATTGTAATGTTTCAACAACTCTTTACATCATGTCTGGATTGGAGAAATTAGGAAGAATGGTAATAGGGAAAGTTGTCCTTTGAGTGAGGGTTTGATTTAACTTTTTTCTCTTTTTCTTGAAATTGATTGAATCATGTAACAGCAACTGTAGATCAGGTATTATAGGAGAAGACGTCTAGGTTTTCTTCTCACCTTCAACATAGTGCAATTACCCCTGAGTTTCATCTATGTGCTACTCTGCGTTAACACATTTTATGTGCTTCCATTAAATACACATTTTGATTACGTAATTGTTGTTCTTCTTGAGTTGTCTCCCTTTGCACAAGTGGCATTCATATTATGTACCCTTTCATCTAAGATCAAGATATTTACAGCTAATACATTCATATTCAAGGTATGCCAAAAGCAGTTCAGGGGTAGAATAGTATTAGAATTCAGTCAGTATTATCTTAACTCTAATTATAAACATCAAGGAAATCATACTGTACTGCCAGAGACAAAATCCACAAGGGGGGATAACTCATAGACCATTATGTTTTCCTGCCTGTATTTCAGTTTCATTCATGTGAATCAATTCCTTTGTGAAGGCTGTAGATTTTGTTTTATTCATATGTGCCAGTTTGTTTATTTTCATACCTCCATGGATAGTAAATGTGTGATGTACAGCTTTTTTCTGCATTGTTGTTTTGTGTACTTTTATTGAATTTTTTTTCTGCATCAGTGTATGGCTATTAATGCCGGACAAATAAAGATGCTCTAAAAATTACTAAAAGATTCCTCGTTTCATTGTTGAGAATGATATCACATTTCTTGTGACAACAGCTGGGTGTTTATTATGTTATGTTTAGGATTACACTTTCTCAGTACAGCACCAACACTTTGTGTGCTGGCATTTTAGGTGCCTGACTTAGAGAGTGTGAGTTCGAATCCAGGATGGTACTCAATCTAACAAAAGTACAAAGTACTAGAATCTGTACTTTACTGAGAAAGTGTAATCCCAAATATCACATATGTTACATTTGACCACTGTCTAAGTGGCTTTGTGTATTCAGAGAATCACTATGTTGAGTGAGGTTGTCCTGTTGTCTGAACCCTTTTGAGCAGTTGTAGGGTGAACATTATTTATCTTTATTAAAACAGATAATCATAACATATAAAAACAACATATGATTGCAAAAGTCTATTATTTTTAGAAATTATTGTCCAAACAGTAATTCGAACCTCTGTGGTTTCACTTCATATCCTGAGAGGATGTTGCTGAGTTGTGCAATGCTTGTTTGATATTATACTGAAAAATTTGACAACATTTCAACTGTGTAAGGATAGATGTAAATGATGAAGTCTGCACCAGCCTGTCCGGTCAGTTACATTTTGAACAACAATCCACTCTGGGTCTGGGTATGATGGTATGCTATCAATCACATCACAGCCTGATCACCCAGTCCATTTAGTTTTCTTTTACAATCAGCTTACCCCAGTATCCCAACACACTGCCATACTGGATTAAGTACATCTTCATAAAGACATGAGATGTCCTGGTTCAGATGGCTAACATTAAACTCAAAACATATTCCGTAAATGTGTCGGTATTTTGTTTAAGTGATAGCGGGATGTTCTTTGAAGTCAATATATATTTTGTTCCTTCCAAATCCCAGGAGAAATCTGATTAACAAAGTTTCAATCTTTCAACCTCAGCTAATTTTCATTAATTTGGCCGAACTTGGAATCAAGATGGTTATGACAATTTGTTGCATATGGACACCATTTAAGAAAATTCATTTTCTATTAAGTTGTGAGGTTAGGTGAAATGTGGTTTAAGGTCATATTTGAGAATATTTCGCTTATATGAAGACCTGCATGCCTTTGTATGTATGGCTGCTTGTACTAGACCAGACTAAGCTGATTGTATAGTACTAGCTCACTTAGATACCATGCCCCAGTTAAGTATGAATACCCCACTCAGACACATTATACTGACTCCGAGCTGACCCGTCCTTGTTTTACCCATTACTGTGGACGGCAACAAGTACCATATTTTAACGTCTTTTAGTATGACGTGGCCAGGGATCGAACCCGCGACCTTCCGCACTCCGGGCGGACCTTTTAAGTTGTGATATACAGTACAACCAGAAATTATTGAGAATTTAAAGACTGTAAATTTTTTATTGTTTTCACTCATTACACACGTATTAAATATGACTATTAGCAGAACATAACTCCAGATTCAAAGACAGGTGAACAGTTAGTATTTTGTCAAGTCACCATGGGCAGCAATGCAGGCTTCAATGCGGCGGGGCATACTACTGATCAAAGTCGTGGTCCATGCTGTCCCAATATCGGACCACCCCTTCTTTCATTTCAGCAATATTTGTCAGATTTTTCTTATTGACACTTTCCTTCATAAGTCCCCAAACATTTTCTATTGGATTTAGGTCAGGTCTATAGCTTGGCCAATCTAATAATGTCATATTTTGGGTCCGAAACCAGGCCTGTGAATGCTTTGAACGATGTTTTGGGTCGTTGTCCTGCTGGAAAATCCAAAAATTTCCATAAAACACGTGAGCAGATGAAAGTAAATGTCCCTCGAGAATATCTGTGTACCGCTCACTGTTCATATTCCCTTCAAATACACAGAGGGGCGTTGCCCCTAACACAGATATGCCACCCCACACGTTAAATTTCGGACTGTACTTTGGGCGCTGATACAAAGGTCTTTCAGTTTGTTTGGTCCAGAATTTCAGTGTATTAGGAAACAGCCACACAGAACTTTCATCTGTTGGGCTATCTAGAGATTACTTCGCTGGCCATTAAGAAAAGGCGCCTTCGAAATGTTTGTTTAAGGTGACATTCAGCAATATTCCAGCTATACGGGGATGGTCTGTAAATACTTGTGTCTGGACCAGACAATCCAGTGATCAAAACAGAATGAGCATCGATCTAGGCAACTGGGATAGGATGGGATGTGTCAACCAAGTCAGCAGTGCATCTTACCACAAGCATTGGTTGGTGCAGACCAACTCTAACCCTTCTTGACGAGTGCACCTATTGACCAACATCAAAGCAACACCAGATCTGGCAGCCCAATACAGACATTTATCCACATTACTCCTTCAATATGATTTCATCAGTTCCCCTTTTTACTGTTGCGAGTATATGCCAACATACTTGCTGATCTGTCTCCATCTGATTCTACTTTAGCTAATTTCCAGTGCATTAAAAATTGTGCATTTTCCCCCTGGCCTGCCACATCACAAAAAACCCGTCTCCCATCTACTTCAGGCGCAGATACTCGCCATACGTGTTCACTTCATTCTTGGCTGGTCGAAATAGGGCCTAGAAGTAGAAACAGTGTTACATGAATCCTGCCGATTCGCTGCTCATATCCACTCCACTGGTGCCAAAGAGCTGCTTAATACAAATATAATGGGTCCTGTCTCACATTTTAAGAAGAAAATGGATGGAAGTCTAAATAATTATTAAGGTGTCCTAAATTTAACCAGAAATCACTCACACTTACAGAGGGGTCATCATCATATTTATCTGTTCACCAAGAAAACGTTTTACCTGTGATTGTTTATATATATCCCAACATGTAACCATCAAGCTATTCAGGGCGAGGTCACCTGACAGAAGGGTCAACTAGTATTGCAACAGGTAACACTACTTTGAAAGGAATTTATTTTCGGTAATTCAACACAGACTCTGCTTCCTATGTTAAACAAGTTTCAGTGGGATCTATTTACGCATTTCATTGGTTGTCCTTGTGATGTCCAGAGTATTTAATTATCTCAAAGTGATTACGTGCGAAATACTTGCCATGCCTTGCCATGGACTCCTGGAGGTATATGGCTACTGGTGGGTAATACCTTATCTTGGTGGCAGGACTTCCTGCTATGGAACACCACAGAGATATCACTGAGGCAATTTACTCTAGCCTGGCAACATAGTTCATACCTTCTGATATGTACTAACTGGCTTTAACGATTCATAAGCCTTTAAGATATCAAACAGGGAGAGAAAAATACAGTAAATATTGTTAATCGCTTTATGCGGAGACAGTAAAAGTCATTTTGTGATAATAATAATCTGAAACTGTTTTTCATCGACGAAAGAATTGGGAGAAAAAATATAATCAATATTGTTAGTTACCTTTATACAGAGACAGTACAAATCGTTTTATGATGAACATTCACTGAAATTATTTGTCATCGACTGAAATGCCTAGCGGTAAAAGAGTTACTGTGAAATATACCTTGAAAAAGACGCATTGTATTATCTTAACGGCGAAAGCATCAAGGCCAGATTTATTTTCAAATTCACTGAATTAAATGTCAAAAGCCCTAAAATACGTATCCCTCCAAAAATAGTATATTTACTTTCATGCTTCAACCGACTGACAAAAAGATCAGTACAGCACATTCCTTAAGGTCTGCCTGCCATGAGTCACATCGGTATGTGCGATGCTTATTATAGAAGTCATAGGTTTTTCTGGTCCGACCCAATACTAGACAAGCAGCTATCATATAGGTGAAATATTGCCGAGAGCCATGTTAAACAACAAACAAACACGCAACTAGCCGACACATTCAGACAGAAATACCTGCAGCATCGTCACCTAGACAACTCCCTATCTCGGGTTGATCTGATGCATGCATATTCTCCCTGCTTGCAGACATGGCTTCTTTTTGCCATCTCTCGCTATGGCTATAAAGTAGCACCAAGCAGCCGTAACTTAGCTAGTTTGAAATCCAGTGGAATATGATGGAATATTCATGCTGTACTCGTGTGTACATTTCATGCAGAACCACACCAATATGAAGCACGGCTTGTTAAGAACAGTACGTTATTTTGGAAACACAAATGGCGACAGTAAATGGTGGTGTATGTTTAACACAGTTGTCACATTAAGAACGTAAGAAACTGAAAACGAAACAAACCAAATAAAAGTATAAATAGACATATATCAAATTGAACTTACACGAACACGTACACTCCAAACACATAGTTCACAGCGAGATATGCCCAGCTTCTTACACACGCCTTAACACATGCAGTCACTGATGCAGGTGAACATTGGGCTTGATAATATACACCCAGGGTGTTGACAACTAGATCTTAAGATCCTCCAGAATAATATCAACCGTTAAACCTTGGGAAAAACACCAAGACCTTGACTGAAACTAGTACGATTTAGATAATGTCTTGAGTAGCCATTTGTAAACAACAAAACATCCCATGAGAGCGAAGATAAGGCTTGAAACATAGTTATGAAAAAAGTTATGTTTTATATTGTTTTTGTTTTTTATCTGGTGTTTTCATCTCACCAGGATTGTATGTCAATATCTTCAAGTCATACACTCTTGTCTATATCCTTTCCAAAATATCAGCTCCACTAAAATATAAAATCTTCATTCAGAGGAGTGTTTCTTCAAACATACAGAAAGTGATCTCAAATAAATAATACGTCTGTCCTTCCACACTATCCATCAAAAGGTTGAGATACAGATGTATAACAAGACACAGTTTCCTGGAGGTATTCACCCTGTGATCACACTGTTGTGGAGACATGGGTACCATCCTGCCGAAGCAGTTTTGTCGGAAAGACGAAATAAGTGGGATTTGTTCATTCCTGCATGTCGCCCTTGTAATACGACTTGTCTCTGCTTCATCACACCCGTGTTTAGTCCTGTGTTATTTCAAACATTGCTGCATTTCAAAGAGGGGAGGTGGTTTCCAGGAAGGTCTATTCTGGACCATTTGGCCATGACGGACTTCTGAACTGCATAATGAACACCAAACGTGTTCATCGCTGGAGGTTGAAGATAATGGACACCGCTGGACGTCTGATAGAGATGGTGGTGCCACGGCACATTGTAGTTCATTTATGAATTTGTCTTGTTGTCGTCAGAGGTGTCTAAATGGACTGGGTGACTGCATGTCATTCCATCCCAATTGCAGAGCTCATGATGTCAATCACTGGTTTATCTAGTCCAGAGGAATTATTTATATTGACCTCTGTCTTTATCTATACAGAATGTTGTTAAATGCACAGTTTACAAGATTTAAAACAAAACCACCCAAACAAGTAGATGTGTGATATGAGTGTATCTATCATTATGTAGCCAGTCACGTGCACACCATCTTTGGATGTTATTTACATCGTGCCTGGAGTCCGTCAATCTGTCTTCCTTGCAACAAATATTGATTATAATCGTCTGTTTTAGACAATGACAAGAATCGCTCAAATGGGACATGGTCTAAGGGAGATAATCACACTGAGAAAATAGCTCTGAAACGTGAATCGCACACTACGTCATTTTCTATGCTATGCGCCATGCGATGCGTTACGTTGCGTTGAAGTTTTTCCGCTCACACTACAGGCGCTTTGCTGTTCTCGGTCATGTTATGAAGAGGGAACAGCACCTGCACCATGTCACTGAAAAAAAGTACGCTAACATTCTCTGTGTCTGTGAAGCGTATATCATTAGAAATACCCATAATTGTAACAAATTAATGACGTCAACAATAGAATCCCATGCAATTTCAAATGCGATGTGATGAAAACAGGTGCAGCACCTATTTTCATTGCATCGGATTGACGCAGTGGTTGTAGCGTGCACGGTCATAGTAAAATACACCGTGTGCGTTTGTTTAACGCATCGCATGACGCGATAGAAAATCTGACGTAGTGTGCGTGCACCCTTACCTGGAACACTCATCAGTATCTCATATTGGGCTATTTCCACCAAGTCTGGAATAAATACGCATCTACTTGAACAGGGACACAACATCACTAGTGGGACGAGTATTATACTGTGTATTTATTCAAAGTACATTCCTGTTTAGCTAGTCTCCTCTGAAAACCTGCGGATATAACTGACTGAGTTTGGTTTTACGCCGCTTTTAGCAATATTCCAGCAACATCACGGCGGGGGACACAAGAAATGGGCTTCACACATTGTACCCATTTGAGGATTCGAACCCGAGTCTTCTGCGTGACGAGCCAACGCTTTAACCACTAGGCTACCCCACTGCCCCCTGCGGATATAAACGTATACCAAGAGACCATATGCTTAGTAAGAAACATTTAACACAACAGTACCGTTTGAAAAGTTTTATTCGCGTTGTTCCGGACTGTATACAGTCCATAAAATACAACTAACTCTTTATACCTTTATATTTCATTTTTTGTTTCATTCGAGGTCGTAATGGGAGCATAACTCTTTTTGTGTCAATGTTCCTTCAAAAACATGTGATCAAAACAATATTTGTATCTACTGTACACATAATCTCGACATACATCCATTATACATTATTATGCTTCTAAGACATTTAGGGCGGTGGGGTAGCGTAATGGTTAAAGCGTTGGCTCGTCACGCCAAAGACCCGGGTTCGAATCCCCACATGGGCACAATGTGTAAAGCCCATTTCTGGTGTCCCCCGCCGTGATGTTGCTGGGATATTGCTAAAAGCGGCGTAAAACCAAACTCAGTCAGTCAGTCAGTCAGTCAGTCAGTCCAAGACATTTACAGATATTATTAAGAAATGTATAGCAGCCATTACAGTACAGACCCGTGCCAGTTATATTCGGACACTTGACGTAACTTTCATAGAAAATAAATAAGCAGCTGTGACTCGAGGAGCAACAAACTGCGTGACTTCGGCTGTGAGGGAATTGGTACACAAACATGATTGGAGTCTTCTTGTATGAGATCATAACACTGACAATATTCCACCCACAAAGCGTCATATCAGCAGGTATGACGTTTATTTATGTCGTGTTTTACACAATATACATCAGTATTTATTGTGTAACAATCCCGACAAAACAGTAGTTGATATTATGACCGGCGTCGCGTGTCGTCGAGATACGACGACATGTACACAGTCATCCAGGTGACGGAATCAGGCCGTGGGATTCAGCTTGTTTGGAGCCTGACCTGACCCGGGTTCCGCCCAACATTATACATATATGTCTGCTAGCTCCAGATATGGAAATATACCCTAATTAAGGGTCCATACACCACATCATATCGGTTTATCAACCGTCACTCTCGATGTGTCCGATTTTGCGTTCGGGAACTCATTTTCATTTTAGTTTCCGTGGTTTTCATTGAGTACTAACATTGTGATGCATTCTCCTTAAATGGACTGGGTGACTACATGTCATTGCAGCCCAATTGCATGGATCGGTGCTCATGATGTCAATCACTAGATTATACATACTAACCTTTGTCTTTAACAAGTGAAAACATCTTTGAGTGCACAGTTTAATAGGATTTTTTTCAAAATCAGACAAGGAGATATGAATGTATCGCATTTTATAGGTAGTAACATATGGCACCAACTTGGAATGTTCGGTATGTCGTGCCTGTGACTTTTCGCGTTGGGCTACATCCACTACAGTCTGTTTGGGTTCAAATGAGAATGATGAATGATTAAATAACTCGAAATAGGGATAAGTGCACAAAACATAAATACGACACATGGTTTGAACCCAAACGGACCGTATGTCTAACACGGGCCTTTGGTTGAAGACTGACACAACCACATTACTGAGACCAGTATTGTACTGTGAATCATACATTCATATTCTAGCTAGTCTCCTCTGCATGCCCGCAGATAAAACTATCCACCATCAAGGGATTGCCACCAACTGTCAAACGCGGCAGTGAAAGTAGAATGAGGATATCCCCAGAAAGCAACATGCAACACAATATTACTGTTTGAAAAGTTTTATTAGTGTTGTTCCGGACTGTATACAGTCCATAAAATACAACTAACTTTTTATAACTTTATATATTCATCTTTTGTTTGAAGCAATAGACCTCGACAAGTATAGCATTAAAATGTGTATATGGTAATAATATTGTTTCGATTTTCTTTGTTTCATTTATTTTTGTTGATTTTGTTTCATTTTGTTGATATATGTAAATATAATAAACCTTGATAAAGATGTAAAATGTTTTCTGAAGTTATTATTTTGAATGTTTTATGTATATTTATGTTACATATTTGTTTCATTGTGTTCATGACCATTATGTACATCACATGTACTGTAACACATACGATTGTAACATATCTAGAATGGAAAAGTTGATATCATTCACATTTGAAAATCTATAACACTGACACACAGAAACAAACACACAGGCAAACGCGCACACATTTTTCACAGGCACTTTTGTAAATTCAAAGCAGTAATTGCATCACATAGTTTACTTTCTTTATTGTATACAACAGTGACACACACACAAACACACACACAAAAGTGCCTGAACACACACACACGCAAACACACACTCGCACACACACATTTTGCGCAGCCACTTTTGTCCAAGCACTCATTGTATTGCATAGGTTACAAATACAAAACAAAACCAAAGTACATTATCAGATATCATAAACATATAATTATAACTATAGTTTTTCAGCCTGTCCTGCTTTCAAATGTAGATCTGTTCCAAGGAATTTGATAGTGGAATGCTAGCTTACAAACATGGTTCTAATATACTCAAAGGCAAAAGTTAGTGCATGTGATCAACACATTTGTTTATACAAATGAGAAAGTTTATATAACGCATCTTCGTATTCTTTACAATACACTTAATCCATAACCCAAACTAGGCCCTTGGTAGGGGGGCTTTTTGCATGCGTTTTCGGTACTTTCAAGAAGTCTTTGGAAAAACGGTATAAAACATGCCTTTAAAAAGTGAGGCTCTAAACCTCGAGTCATTGTCACCCAAATCATTGTTTAGAGGTTGGGTCCGAAAAACACAAATTTAGAAGAATCTGTTTGCATTTCGCTATGCCACAGCTGATTGAAAATGAAAGCTAGCGAGCCACTGGAATGCCTGAATCCGGAACACCGCACACCGTTGCACAGCAGTTTAACGTGCACAGGAACACCAAATGCCGCTTGTGGAGACGTTATCAACAAAACGCCGTCGTTGCAGGCCGTCCCCGAAGTGGCCGTGCACCTGTAACCATGCCACGCAGCGATCTTTGGATTCGAACCACCCATCTGCGCCAAAGATTCCAACCAGTCACACAGACAGCCTGGCGTCTGGTTGCACACGGGATACGTGCTAGACGGCCTGCCAGACGACAAATTTTGACATTAAGTCACCAAGGTCTATGTCTGCAATGGTGCAGATAACATATGCGGTGGAGAGCACGTGAGTGGAGACGTGTTCTCTTCACTGACGAGTCCAGGTTCCTCTTGCACCGCGCTGATGGTGACGTGGTGAGAGTTATGTTAGGAACTGTGTCCTTGAGGCCGATAACGAGTGCTGGGCGTACACCTTTTGCTTCCACAGATATAGACTGCCATTCCACAAGAATTCTTGCGACGTTTGATTATTTCTATTAGGCGCAGGTGTCCAGCATGCATCAATGCTCATTGTGGACATGCACGTTACTGACTGTGTGAATTTCATTTTGACCATTCTCTCACTGTGAACTCATGAGCATTTTTCCGCTAGAAAAGTTTAAAATGTGTCATTTGCAATCTTATTGCGGAACGATTTCTTGCAATATTAAAAAGTCTCATCATAAAAATATCAGTTGTTAATTCACATATCTAACTTCAAGTCAATCACGCTAACCTTTGCCTTTGAGTATACTCAGATATATTATTAGGAAGTAAACTAGCAAATGATTCACAATATATTTCTAAGCCTGGGTTTCAAATTCAGAGTGATCATATTGACTTTGATTACTGGAATGATTGTAAACATAACTAGTACAAGCAGCACCATAACCTGCATAGTTCAGTATAGTTTATAAAGTTCAAAATAACAAATTGTGAAAGACCCTTTCGGTTGTTCCCTTTGGTCTCTTAGCCACGTCCTCTTTCTGTGACTTCTTTACTGCATCATCTTCAACAGTTTGACCTTTGGGTGTTTCCTTTTCCTTGATTGCAAGACTGATGACTCTGGCCTCTGTGGCCCTGCCTGAACGTCCTGGATACTTCCATCTGAGTCACTGTCAGATCCGGTGTCATGTCCAGATGTTTGTGTCTGGTGGCAATCATTTGTTTCTTTCCTCGCACTTTCAGCACTGACATCTTGGAGATCATGTCCTGATATTGTATGTGGCCATTGACATCCCTGTACATCTGCCCTTGGTCTCTTGGCATCCATTTGAGATGGAGACAGGCTTCTCTTTCTCTTAGGCAAAGGGAGCTTGTTGCAGGGCTCCTGGATGTGCCTATTGATTCCATTGATGATCCTTATCTCATTTCTGTCCCTCCGACTTCTTCACTCTGTTCATTCTTCTCAGCATTCTGTCGTCTCGGCCAGTGTCAGGAAATCCATCCCACGTTGCCTCATCATCAGCTCCTATCTCAGTGTGAGCTCTCTTTCCATCAATACCACTGTTCACCTTAGTTGAAAGGACCATTTCTGTCATATCATCAGCAAAATGGCATCTCTGAGAAGACAGTGTAATTGAACATGCTTTGTGTGGTGATGGAAAGAAAGCAACAGAGTTGGAATCACTGCTCGTACTTGTGGAGACATATGGTGCGGATGAGGCAGTGCTGCAGTCACCGGAGGGTGAGAGGTTGTTCACCTGACTGTAGACACCATTGTGAAGGGATGTCAAAACACTATTGTCTGGACTACTATCAGAGCTGATGATGATCGGAGAGGTATTATGCTCTTGTGTTGCGGGTACAGTGTCCTTTGAGCTTCTCAGATTGCTATTCCAAGTGAAATGGCCATTGCTCACAGTGCTATCCTCGTGGATCATTCTGGAGGTTGAAGAGCTGTTGAGGCTGTGATCGACTGCATTCTGTGTCCAACAGCAATCAAATGCAGTCCTGTTGAGGGTGAGATCCACTTGAGCGGTCTGCAAACAATGTATCTTGGGAGTTGAGGTCTAATCAGAGCAATTCTTTTGGAAAACGAAGCAAGGTTTAGTATAAATTTGTAACATTCTTTTATTGTTTATATCTTACCTGTAATGAGGCATTTCTCTGGTCATTAGGGTGAATTTGTATTACTGGTACATGCCATGCATTCTGCAAAGTAAATAATTACTGAAACAATCAAACATTGTATAAATGCTCTCCCACAAAAACAAAACACAAGGTTGGAGAAACCAATAGAGTACTTTGAAATTCTTTGTTACTGGTTTCATGCAATAACATGAAACATTGATGATCATAAATACTGATCGAGGTCATAGGAACAAAGGAGGTTAGCAACCGTCTTGAGAAACGCCTTTAAACTATATGTACTGCCTCTCACCTGGTTGGCTTCCACTGCCTGTATCTGTGGTACAACTGGGATTACTTCCAGCAGGAGAACTTGCTCAACATCACATCTGTACATCTGGGGCATTGCCTGAAGAAAATGATCAAGAGAAGTTGATAAGTAACTAATATCTCATACTGTGACATATAATTCATCATATCTGTTTTAGCCTACCAATTGTACTATAGCACCTACGTCTATGTAAACTTGTAAACACTTGTTTCAGAATATCTTTGACATTATTGTCCATACTTACACCTGGTTGGTGTGGATGTAGAATAACACCTTGGTCAATAAATTCAGGTCTGTGATCTCCAGAAAAGCTGTCATCATAGCCACTATCACAGTAAGGAGCTTGTTCGGGGGATGAGTCTGATCCTGATGAATCCTCCTCCTCTGGGAAATCACCAGGAGCATATAGCTGATGCTCCTGCCTGGAGTCATGCTCCAAATTAATTCTGCTGTCATTTTGTGAGGAGGAGGATGGTTGCTGCCCATTACTTGAGTCTGACTGATCACTAGGTGGATCGTTATCCAGCTCTGATCTGGCTCTCTCATACAGATCCCGATATGCAGTTGTCAGAGCAGGCAATGGTTGACCATGGCTGGAGCAACTCCCAGATTCAGAGTCTGCAGGAAGATGATCCAAATCTCTCCTTGCTTGTTCATACAGATCATGGTATCTTGATGACAGGAAGGGTGAAGGATAGTCATCATGGAAGGCGTTACTTGTGGAACTTCCAGGACCATTCTGAAATAATTTGGAACATTATACATTTCTATAAGTCTTGTACATTTACCAGTCAGTGCCCAAAGCGTTAGTGCTTACTTGGCTCCATGTCTCATTTGTAGACATTGATCTGTATGTATTGTGCACCATCAACTATTCTTATAAGGCGAGTTGGATAACGTTTGGATAAAGTCGCTGGTTGTAATATCTGGTTAGTACTACAGGATGAAGCCGAGTTGGGAATTTTAGCCACTCTGTCCAAATGCATGAATCAAGTAATGTGCTTTTTGGTCGAAATTCTATGTTTCTAAATGAATATGGAAACTGTACGACCTGTATGGAAACTGTACATACATGTATGTGAGCGCTATGTACTTAAGCTATATGAGTAAGAGCCAGTTTGGGATAAACATTAGTAAATCTGCGGAAAAAAGTGTACTCTTTGTAAACCTCACCTGGCTGCTTATGTGGATTGTTGACTCATCATCAGAAAATGGCCACTGAGCTTCTGTACTGTGAATATCGGGCTGTTCCCGGGACGCCCAACGTCTCCCCACAGCGGGTGTATAAATGGACTCAGGTTGACTGACACTGGGCCAGGTACAGTTATCGCTGAAGGTGTCTGGTTGGTCACAAATCAACCTTGGTGAGAAACCGACTGACTGAGGACGGTACTGGTGGGAGAGCTGCGTCTGTGCACTCCAAACAAAATCCGGTGGAAGTTCTGGGTCCGGGAGTATCGGAGAATTACCTGGAAACAAAACATGAAAAGTTGTTTGGAGTATAGACGTGTCTACCCCGGAACAACTGTAGGAATAACTCTACATCTTCTGTTTGTAGCTGTCTAGTACATATAGCCTACCACAGCAAGCTTTATCATGAACCGACCTGTCGAAAACTATGTTGTCAAAGGTAGTGTCGAGGTCGTAAAGGGTCACAACTCGTTTTTTGTAAATTGAGCCGTTTTCCTTCTTTGATTTTGTATTGAATGTGTGTAACGCCTTATTAATATGATCAAAGACTAAGGATATCTGAAAAGGTTTTCCATTGATCAATTAATGCACAGATCTGTTTCTGTTCTTAAAACAGACCAGTTTACTTGCATTCAAAATAAATCTATCATAGACTTTCTCGACGTCTGACATGACCTATACAGTTAACGATATTTTCCCTTTTGTATCATACAAAATACCATTATATATCCATTATATTTACAATGCAATGCATTATAGATCTATGGACGAAAAGATGCACTGAATGTGAAGACTTGCGAAGTTTACAGTAAACATTCACGTGTGAAATACGCAACACATCGGAAGGCGCACGTAAAATCTTCAAATCATCATCAGTTGAGATCACAGAACTGGGACTTACCGAGTTCATGTGTGTCCATCGCCAAGATAATGTAATTAGGTTAAGTACAGATAACCTGGACGAGGGAAAAATATGCACCCTTTCAAGCGCGACATCATGTTCGATAATAACGTCGCCATGGCGACGCCTATTGTTTCACGCCGCCTATGATATAAGGGTAAGTAACTGTGGAAAATTGCGTACCGCGAAAATTTGAATTCGACTTTTACATATAACATATGTTATATTTGGGATTACACTTTCTTAGTAAAGTACAGATTCTAGTACTTTTGTTGGGTTGGGTCTAGTACTTTCTAAATGGCATTGTGTATTTCATTACTTTTACATAATTCTGTCATACTTCCCTTCATATTTCCCTACTGAGGTATAACTTATAAATATTGTTAGTGGTGGCTTACTGGAGTATGAACACTTTCCGTTTCCATTGTGTATATTTGTAACTTGTAAAATCTGCATATATATTGTCAGGTACAGCCACAGATCTCCCAATCGGCAATGTTCGGCAGCAATGTTCATTTTCTGGTGGGATTTTAGGGGAAGATTATCCGGTCCTTGAATGTACCTGTCATTTCTTGTGTAAAACGGACACACCAGTTACCAATGGAAATCACTTAAGCCAAATCACCCATAACACGACATAAATAATTATCCTACAGCAAGAGAAAAACACGTAGGATTATAATCCAAATAGTGTGATTAGTGTGCGCCTGTGCCTGTCGACTTCTACAGTGATAATCTCCAATTTCCGGAAATATCCAAACAAGTGTAAATGGATATTTGTATTATTACTATCTTGAACTAATTCATTCATTCATTTATGTTAATTTATATTACCCATACCCAGGTGTAAGATAGAGAGAGCCACATGTACATATCAGTACCCACAGCTGACTATAACGTTAGATAGAACTGCTAGACAGATGTATCTAATGTGTGTCAACAGGTATGTAGTATTATTGAGGTGACTGACATACAGATTCGGATACAAATATGCCAATTCAGTCCATGCAAGTCTAGAAGATGTGGCAAGTCTAACCCAGTTTCTGAAAGTAAAAAATCCTTTGAGCTCCTTTTTGTTATATTAAAGCTTACATGCAACGCAAAACACAACTTTGCAGATTCTGATACCTTTCGGTATGGACTTACATCAACAAATTATCAAAAATGCAAATTCAACTTATAAAGTTGAAAAATAACGCAATTAAAAAAATCCCGAGAAATCGGAATTCAAACGATTCACTAAAACAAACCCAGCTGGGGTGAAAAGTGGTTTCAACAGCTGTGCTGCGCTGCGCACATATTTTGTTGGTTGCATCTAAGCTTTAAGGAACCGTTTGTTCTGTAAAATTTGTTCTTTCAGAGATTGGATGTTAGTCTAGGTAACCGCGCGAAACAGCGGCTTCAATAGACATTTATGGGCCGCTTCTGTTTGTCTTTACATGGTTTCGAGGACGGAAGGGTCCTGTGTGCCACCATCGTGTTGGGATAACAAAATATTAGTGGCATGTATTAGATATTACTAAACATACATTACCCCTACATCCCAGTACCCCTACAATTAGTTAAAACAACACACGGCATTTACCTGTCTGGCGTAATGAACTTACCCATGGGAGCGATTAAAGTGTTGTGTATACAACTTAGAAAGGATTAAGGTGTTATTGGTTAGAGAAAGTTTGTTAAGATGAAATGAAGTAAATGTTGAAATTGACACTGAGATGAGACAAGTAATTTGAGATGACTTAGTATAGTAAAGTGTTGTGTATACAAATTAGAAAAGATTCATGTGTTCTTGGTTAGAGAAAGTTTGTTAAGATGAAATGAAGTAAATGTTGAAATTGACACTGAGATGAGACAAGTAATTTGAGATGACTTAGCATAGTATATAAATGTTGGAAACAAACTAACATGACATCAACATGGCTGGTCTTCGCAATGTTGAGTTTGTTATGTCACGGAGAGGTAGCACCCAAGTCCTATTTGAGGGTTATCTACACACTAAGAATGTCGAGAGACAGTCTTGTGTACACTGGAAGTGTGTCCAGTCAACTTGCAGAGGCAGAGTCACAACAGTCGGAAATGTTTTGAGGAATGCGACGGAGCATAATCATCCGCCAGAGGATAGCCAGAAGGTCCGGTTTGTCAGCAACCTGAGGAAGAGAGCGAGGGAGGAGTCAACATCGATGCACACCCTCTACAACAACGAGATTACGAACTTGGACGATGATAAGATACCATTGATGCCATCCTTCCCGACCATGAGCAGTGCTATGTACCGCCATCGACAGAAGACAATTCCTGTTTTGCCGCAGACGAGATCGGAAGTGAACCTTCAAGATTCCTGGACGGAGACAGCAGATGGTCGACCCTTCCTCCTGTTTTCAGATGGTGATGACGATAAGATCCTGGCATTTGGCACCATGGATAGTCTTCAGGCCTTGCAGTCTTCTGAAATCATCTATATGGATGGAACCTTTACTGCCTGCCCTGGTCTGTGGAATCAAGTGTACATCCTACATGCAAGACGTGGAACCACAACCTATCCCCTCATCTTCACCTTACTCCCCGACCGTCAGACTGAGACCTACTCCAGACTCTTCAGACTCATCAAGAATGAAGTTCAGCAGAGACTTAACCGGCCGCTTGCCCCATCCTGTGTCCAGACAGACTTTGAGCTGGCGGCAATTCATGCTATAGAGAGAGAGTTTCCGACTGCTGAAGTGAAGGGTTGCTTCTTCCACTACTGTCAAGGCCATTTGGAGGAAGGTCCAGGATCTGGGACTTGCTGTTGCTTACAGAGAGGATCTGGAAATATCCAGATGGGTAAGAAGAGCGGCTGGACTACCCCTTTTACCCCAGAACAGTATCCAGGACACGTGGGTTGACGCCATGGACGACGCTCCCGATGTACCAAGAGCGGCCACCTTCAACGATTACATGGTGACTACCTGGGTCGACGACGACGCAAGATTCCGTCTGCCACTGTGGAACCATCACTCAACAACAGGTCCAAGGACAAACAACAACCTAGAGGGATTCCACAACCGCCTGAACCGGGGACTCCCACATCGACACCCCAACATCTACCGATTTGTGGAGGTGATCAGGAAAGTTGAACACGCTGAGAGAGCGAAAATTTCCCAGATAGACTTTGGAGCAGCACAGAGAAGCAGAAAGAGAGTGTACAGAGAGATGGAGCATCGTTTGTGTCGCCTCAAGGAGCAGCTCAATCTTGGGCTGAAAACACCAATGCAGTTCCTTGACGCTGTGGGCCATCTCCTCAAATTGGGATAGAGACTTGTTTAAAAGACAAAAATTAACATTAAAAAGTTAACATGACCTGCTGCTCATATTCATGTCACGACCAGGAAGATATCTGTGTATTATATTCATTTATTTGTGTAATTAAATCCATAAATTAAAACATTAAATCTTGTGTTCATGTGTTTGGGCTAGTCCATTGTCCAGGTAACAGGTAACAGGAAGGGGATTAGCAGTGCATTGGACCGTGAACTTTGTTGTTATAAGCTGTAGGGGTAATGGGATGTAGGGGTAATGGGAGGATACCCAGGATAAGAGTTCGTGTTAGCAGTATTGACGTGTGCTAAACATACTGAAAGTATGTGTTAACAGTATTGACATGTGATATTAATTACTAAACTTGATAAGAGTCCGTGTTAGCAGTATTGACATGTGATATTAATTACTATACTTGATAAGAGTGCGTGTTAGCAGTATTGACATGTGATATTAATTACTATACTTGATAAGAGTCCGTGTTAGCAGTATTGACATGTGATATTACTAAACATACTGAAAGTGCGTGTTAGCAGTATTGACATGTGATATTAATTACTATACTTGATAAGAGTCCGTGTTAGCAGTATTGACATGTGATATTAATTACTACACTTGATATTAGTCCGTGTTATACAGTCCGTGACATGTGATATTACTAAACATACTGATAAGAGTGCATGTTAGCAGTATTGACATGTGATATTAATTACTACTTGTGAATTACTACTTTCCGTGTTAGCAGTATGAGTCCGTGTTAGCAGTATGGACATGTGATATTAATTACTACACTTGATAAGAGTCCGTGTTAGCAGTATTGACATGTGATATTACTAAACATACTGAAAGTGCGTGTTAGCAGTATTGACATGTGATATTAATTACTATACTTGATAAGAGTCCGTGTTAGCAGAATGGACATGTGATATTACTAAACACACTGAAAGTGCGTGTTAGCAGTATTGACATGTGATATCAATTACTATACTTGATAAGATTGCGTGTTAGCAGTATGGACATGTGATATTACTAAACATACTGAGAGTGCATGTTAGCAGTATTGACATGTGATATTAATTACTATACTTGATAAGAGTGCGTGTTAGCAGTATTGACATGTGATATTAATTACTACACTTGATAAGAGTCCGTGTTAGCAGTATGGACATGTGATGATTACTATTACTAAACATACGTGAGCAGTAGTGCATGTTAGCAGTATTGACATGTGATATTACTAAACATACTGAAAGTGCGTGTTAGCAGTATTGACATGTGATATTACTAAACATACTGAAAGTGCGTGTTAGCAGTATTGACATGTGATATTAATTAGTACTTAATAAGAATGCGTGTTAGCAGTATTGACATGTGATATTACTATACTTAATAAGAATGCGTGTTAGCAGTATATACTGACATGTGATATTACTATACTTTAATAAGAATGCGTGTTAGCAGTACTGACATGTGATATTACTATACTTAATAAGAATGCGTGTTAGCAGTATGTGACATGATATGCGTGTATTACTATACTTAATAAGAATGCGTGTTAATAAGCAGTATTGACATGTGATATTACTATAACGTAATAAGAATGCGTGTTAGCAGTACTGACATGTGATATTACTATACGTAATAAGAATGCGTGTTAGCAGTACTGACATGTGATATTACTATACTTAATAAGACTGATGCGTGTAGCAGTACTGACATGTT